CGTTTCGCCGGCATCGTCAGTGAGTATCGCCATTCTTAGCACCATACAACAACTCGTCAAAGAGACAAGTCTACCTTTATTTTTTGCCTCGAGGGTAGGTTTTCGAGACTACCTGTATGTCTGATATAAGAGCGGTAAGGACCATATTTCGTTTAAGATGATAAAGTAGGGCGAATAAAGCTTTTATATCAAGAATGTATTGAGAATGTACCCAGTCCACTGTCTGAAGCTGGGAATCATGACAACTACTATGGCAGACGACTTCGGACTAGGTGCGTTCTACTAAGTCTCCCTGACAACAAGACCAAGTTGCGACAACGAGGTCAACCCATTTCTCTTATATCAAGTCTATTGATGGTCTCAAAAATCTACTTATAAACTGAAAATAAGTAATATTCGATTGGCATAACAAATGCAAGTTATATGTGACGTATTCACCCTATTTCGTTTAAGATGACGAAGGACTGGTAGTACAATTTTCCCACGATGATATGAGTAGAGCTGATGTTTCTATTGAATTTCACGGAGCCTTGCTTTCTCAAACGTTGTTCTCATCCAGGGTGGAATGCCGTTTCAATCCCGCATAGGTCTTATCAACACCCCCAGCGGGAGTCGAACCGTCACAGTGCATCATGTGAGCAGTCCATTCTGGATGAGAACAACTTTTGGGAAAGCAAGGCTCTGCGAACTTTAATGGAAACGTAAGCTCTACTCATATCATTGTAAGAAAATTCTATTAACACTCCTTTATCATGTTAAACGAAATATGGTAAATACTTTTCTTAGCCCATTTTCTTTAAGGATGTTGTCAATTCAGGCTGCTACTGTTGATGACGTCGATCACCTCTACTATCTACAAAGTCCCTTTTGTAAGCAAGACTAAGGAAAATTCATTGAAATCACAAGACCATCTCATTATGCTGGGGAAAAATTCAACTGCCATTCCTCCATCAGCTTTAATGAAATAGGATGAATAAGTCTACTTTTATTTTAATAAACATGCCGTTTAAAGTCAAAGTAGGATCCCATTCTTACAAATATTACAAGTAGACATGAATTCGAGAGGCTGAGACGGCTCTTCTTGGCATGCTGTTTTGCACAACAACAGCAACAATAGAGGACCAAACAAAAATATATATAAAAGGAGCTTTTTTTGTATTTTTCGTGCCAATAAAAATGTCTATATGCAACGTAATTTATGGCTCTAATAAATGTCATGCGTATCTCGAGCTTATTCCAAGGCTCAGACCACCTTCGATCACTAGAGGAAATAGCCACAATAAGTATGCTTTTGTTAGCTTCCAAGGAACTTGCGGCATCAAAATTATCCTAAAAATTAGTGAATTACTTTTAACTAGTTTTCCTCCTCCTCCCCGTCCTCTTCACGAACAAGTATGTCTCATAGATTGCGTCAAACTAAGCGTCATACCAAATCCATAAGGCTGCATTACAGTCCTCGTCTTCTGGTAAGATCAACCTATGAATCTCTCCATTATTATCAAAGCCTCCACTACAAATTAGCCTTAAGGATTAGTCCTTTGCAATTCCATAAGATTTAGTTAAAGTATCACTGAATGTACATGAATAAGGGTATATACAATTAGCAATATATACCATAAGATAATATTCTGTTGGGCTGTATCTTGGTTTCATTGCCTAATAGGAAAAATCTAAATGTTAAACTTAGAAAATTCTTAGTCCTCAATATAGGCTTTTCCTTTCAGCAAATTTATAAAAAGTCATTTTACATCATATCCATATTTTTGTCCAGAATCATTTCAAGCAGAGGGAATTTCGCATCAACTTTGGTTGAAATCTTTACGGCTACAATCAGCAAATGAACAACATGAATTACAAGGGAGGAAGATATACGAATTTCAGCATCGTCGGAGTATTTCCTCACGCCGCTTGTCCCGGAAGATACTTTTACTTAAGACTAGACTGCTATTTCAACTTGATCTGTCTTTTCATGAATCCTGATAGCACATTATGCCTATTAATGTATGCTGAATGAAGTGTAGCCTAAAAGCAAATAAGCTATGTGTCCCTATATCTCATTTGCCCTTTGCTCTCTTGCAAGTTTAACTGGTTTCCATTGTTTACTATCCATACTATTGCAGTAGTGCTTGTTTGAAGGCGGACAAACGCAAAGTAATTA